ACCCATCCACACTGACAACCCACTGCACATCACAAGGTGCACCTATAGACTGTGGGTGACACTCTGGGACACAGCTTTATTTTTTGCATCTTTCTCTCTGTTTTCCTTTTATACCAAATGGAACAATTCCTCCAGTGTACACACATCTATGCCCTCTTTATTTTAATCTCCACTGGGAATTATATTCTGTATACTGCACTTAGTGTTGCTCACTGGGACTAAGAAACAGGCCCATCACCTGCGTGTTTGCCTTTTACTGTACTTTCTTTTCTGTTTCATTTCCTTCACTGAGAAATGACGTCACTGGATGTCTGACATGAATGATCCCTCAGTGGCTTCTAGCCAACCTATATTTGTCTGTCCCCACTACTAGCCCAAGAGCTAACATCTGACAACCTCTTTAGATTAGACTACAACCCAAGTGGACATTTTGCCTGCTATTACTGTCTTCAGAGGCCCAGGGACAAAAGCAAGTTCCTTCTTTTCTACAGTGTTTCACTGCACAGCGTGCATAGTGACTCCTACTTTCTATCTCATGAAAAGAATACTTCTAGAAGCCTATCCATATATCCTGTCCATGGAGAAGAGCTCTGTTTAGAAACTTTGGCCAACAAAGCTGGTTTTGATCTTCTGGAATGGAAGAAGGTTCTACTCTCAACACAGTTCTTCTCTCCTTCACTTGTGATTAGCAGACCTAGGGACAGGGTTCTGGCGACAGCTGGTACAATACACAACTCATTGTCTCTTCCCTCCCTGTGTTAGCCTAACTACAAAACAGAACACAGCACAGCTACATGCAGTTCTAACTGCCTGCCTGCCCAAGCATGCTGTAAATCACAGAGGTGAAGCTGGTTTAAAGGAAGACACTTATGCTGTTCAGAAAAACCCAGCTGTCAGTTACCATGCAATTTCCCCATGGAATTCGAAATAACATAAGACAAATTTGTTCTCCTACTTCCCAAAGGATATTATCACCAAATAGGAAATTACTTGACGTCAGCAGACAATGCCATCCATAGACTGGGCAGGTCCTAAACTTGACTTCATGGAGATGACCAATTGGAAGGCACCTTCATAACATGCAGAGGGCTGATGCTGAGAAAGCAGGGTCTAGGTAATAGGGAAAGATTGCTACTCACAACTGCTAGAGCACCTGCAAGCTCTCCAGCCCTTTAGATGACATCAGTGCAGTCATGCACACTGTGGGCCCACACCCAAAGGCTGAAGGCCATCAGACCCCTCCCTAGACCCTCTCTATAAACACAGAGAACAGAAGGGCATCCCACTTCAAGATTCAGAGGAGGCTGAATCCTGACCAGACCCCTTTCTCTTACATCATCTGTATAAAATGAAGATGGCTGTTAATTAAGCTCATCTCAGCTCTAAGATCCTATGGATCTAAAAACAGTTATGTTTATGATGACAAGTCAGGGCAGCCACTACTTATCAGTCTTCCAATTAACTTTTTTTTTTTTTTCCCCGAGACAGGGTTTCTCTGTGTACTTTGGGGTCTATCCTGGCACTCGCTCTGGAGACCAGGCGGGCCTGCCTCTGCCTTTTGAGTGCTGGGATTAAGCGCCCGGCTAGTTCATTTATTTTTATACATCAAACTTGATTAGAAAAATTTAATTCCAGATTTTAAAAGAAGCAATTATTTTGCACTGTATGAAACTACAGATCATATAGTATATCTGGCATTATGCAATAAGTCTCTTCAAATGATTTAAGAATAAAGTTGTCAATAATTTCACAAAAATATTGCAGAGACTGAACCAAAGCAAACCAAACAAACCAGCTAGTCCACTGTAAATGTGCCCTCAAACTCTTATGGGAGTCAAAAATTCCAGTAAAAATAACAGAGCAGATGGAAACACAAGTTTCTTATTATCACACTTCATATGCTATAAAACATAACAGCTAATTTATTTTTGGCAAAATGATTAGGATTGCAACACTCTGGCTTCCACAAACTCATTTGATTGTCAAGTGCATCTCAAATGGAGCATGTCATATGAACTTCAGGCATGCAGGCACTGTGTTGTCTTAGAGACAGTGAAATTTCAACAAGTCAGCATGGATCACACCACCAGATTAACAGGCCCAGGTGTTTAATGCGGGACGTAGTGAGTGGTGGGGAATTCCAACAATGCAGATAATTGAAACCAGATAAAGCTTTCTTTAAAGATTTATTTACTTGTATGAGTATTTTGCCTTCCTGCATGTATGTATGTATGTATACCATGCACACGACTGGTGCCTGCAAAGGTCAGAAGGTACCACATCCCTGGATCTAGAGTTACAGATGGTGGAAGCTACCTTGTGGGTTCTGAGAATTGGACCCAAATCCTCTGCAAGAGCTACAAGCATCCTTAACTGCTGAACCATTTCTCTAGCCTCAGATAAAGCCCCTGAATAATGAAAACACAACAGTGCAGAGACGGTTCCCTTCCCTCCTCAAAGGTGCCTCACATGTACAGTCACACATTCTTCTCTATTATAGACACTTGTGTCTGTGTGCCTCTTCTTCTGCATGTATGTGGTATAAACATGTGTGTATATGTGTATGTATGTGTGTGCATGTGTATGCATGTGCATGTGGAGGGGAGGGCAAACGTTGATGCTGGTGTCTTTCTCAACTGTGTTCCATCTTAGGTTTGAGACACTGTCATTGAGTCTGGAGCTCACTGATTTGTTGAGGTTGGTGGGATAGCAAGCTCCAGCAATCTACCTTCTCTGCTCCCGTAGAACTGGTGTTACAGGGGGCTTTTATGTAGGTACAGGAGATCCAAACTTGGCTTCTCAAGTCTGTGCAGCAGAGACTTTACTCACTGAGCCATCTCTCCAGCTCCATTAGAGAAGAGGAAATACAGTTTCACAGCTCTCTGAAACTCTACAAATGCATTTTGTTAAGCTCATGGTTCTCACTCTCCCGTCCAGCTCTTTCCATCCTTTCCCACTCCCCATCTTAATTCAAGTGTCCACAGGAGACGGCAATCCTGGGAAGATACTAGATTACTACCTAGTGAAACCTCTGCAGTCTGGAACCTAGTTAAGCTGTGATCACATTTCTGCCCAGAAACTGAGATGCTAAATACATACCATTTTACACTAGTCTGGGGAATTTGATATTCATAACAGTAGTTAACCAAATCATTGAGACAAGCCTAGTGTTATTGCCACAACAACAATAATAGGTAATACCTGCCTAGAACTTTAAAATCCCAGACAACACTCTGAATATTTTGCATAATTCCTCACAAAATCCTTGAAGAACACATAATTATTTCCAATTTGTTGATGGGAAAACTGAGGCCAGGGACTCAATGATTTGTCCAAGTTCACGTAAACAAAAAAAATGACAAAACATATTTGAGCCTAAGTGACTAGTGAGAGCTGGAGCCCACAGGGACTGTGTGACTATAAGCTTACATGTAGGTAGGGTGGGAATTAGAAAGATGGTGGCCAAATATAGTGAGAGAGGAATCTCAAGGACAGAAAAGAGGTTGGAAGTCACCCTAAGGCTGGCATCAAAGGGAAAGCTTTGTTTTGAATAAAATGTCTTATCTAGGGAAGTAAAACCACAACTGAGTAGAATAGGAATTCAGTGAATAGAGTATAATCTTCAATTTATTGAGTTCACATTTAGACATAAAAATACATTTTCTTATATCCAAGAGGAGAAAATTAAAATCAAATTGGTTTTAAAAACAGGAAGACTATAGTTTTACTCTTTCCAAGTGCTGGTTTGAGCGCTGAATGTAGCAAGCTGGCAGGAAAGGAGTCGAATTCCTAGTGGGATCCAAGACCTGGCTAGAGACATTTTCTCACATGGAGTGAAAGAGTTCATGGACAGGGCTTCAGTGAAGGGATATCGCTTCCTCTTGCTAAGCTGTCTCATCCATGAGACTCTAGGCTATTAGCTCAGAAACATGTGGTGTCCCCTGGGGTGTCCTCGAGATGCACAAAAGTGGTTTTGTACACATGCGTGCCAAATGAAGACATAAATTAAGATATAAAGTATCTTGTAAATTGTACCCACTCTATGGGTCATTTCATGATATGTGAGTTAAAGCACACATTTAAGGCTCTTAAAGAGTTCCCTCCTTTTTGGGGTCACTTTAACTTGGACTCTGTGACTACAATGCCCCACTATGTGTCCAGTTGTATGAGGCTGTGGGTGCAGCTCAGTGGAAGAGTGCTTGCCTATCATGCACTGGGCCCTGAATCCATCCCCAGCATCATAACTACAAACAAAAAGACAGACAAACAAAGAAAGTATTTGTGAATGAAAACATGTATCTGTGTCTCAAAAGGGCCAGCAAACTACAGAACAGAAAAGAATAGAAACTTATGATCACTTAGCATGTTTGATGACAAGGACACATCCTTTTGCTTCTTGAAAGAGACAGGAAAATTTTCTTATTTCAATTTTTGGGAGATGTATGTATTTTTACTTAATTTTATGGGTGTTTTGTCTACATGTATATCAGTGCACCATCTGCATGCAGTGTCTGTGGAGGCCAGAGAGGGCATAGAATCCTAGAGCTGCACTTACAGGAGGTTGAGAACCACCATGGGTGCTGGGACTTAGATTTGGCTCCTCTAGAAGAGCAGTCAGTGCTCTCAACCACTGAGCCATCTCTCCAGTCCACTGATACTGTCAAAACACTCTTTCAATAAAGACAGAGTTCACTCCATGTCACTATCAGTAACTACTTTTAAACATGGTTTCATAAAAGAGAGCAACTCAAACATAACTCTAGAACTCCAGAGAAACCTAGATTCAAAGACATTCATTTGGAGAAATCTCTATCTCTCCCACTATTATTCATGGAACATTATGGGAATTTCTTAGGCACAGGTCTTTGGAAATAAAGACACAAAGAAAGAGGCAGGCACCATGCCCTCCTCCCCCTGTTACACAAAAAAGCAAAGGAAACAGGAGGGCTTTTGCAAGTGCACAATCAGCTACCCATAGTCATCTTCTAAGGCATACTCACGGGCAGCTCAGGGACATGCTTCATGAGCCGAAGAGCAATATAGCTGCCTATGGAATGGCCAATGAGTATCAGCTTCACATCCTTTGGCACGTGAGCTCTGAGAAAGGCTAGTTTGTGTTCTATTTGACCATTTAGACCATAGACGTCCTCAATTTCCTGAGCATTTGTCTCTAAAATCGAAAATATGAACATACTTCAATAAGTAAACAAGCTTATTCAAGTAGAAACAGTACCTACAAAAAATGCCCAGGTTCAAAGCAGTAACTTAGCGAGTTAAGCCTGACCATTTGTCCTAAGCCTGTAACACACTAGCTGTGGTATTAGACACTTACATTACAGAAACCCACCCTTACCATAGAAGGGGATAGCAGCATTATCTGAAACATCACAGCTCATGGGTATTATGGGAAGACTGTTAGCTGTACACCTATGAAGTAGGAGGCAGAGATTCAAATTCGGGTCTGTTCTCAAAGCCCACAAATGTTCAACTATTCCACGAACTCCTGTTAGTTCAGGCCAGTCATTCTCGAACTTGATCATGTAACAAATACCTGGGAAGGTCTGCTGAAAAATAGCTGGGCCCTGACTCCAGCGTTCGTGACATAGTAAGTCTGGGTAGAGGTCCTAGAGTTTTCTTCTCTAAGTTTCCAGGAGATGCAGCCCTGCTGAGTCTAGGGTTACACACTGGGAACCACTGGGTTAAGCTGACTCACATCCAGTGAACTAAGAAAACACACAATACTGCTTGACTATGTTGAATAATCTGTGTATAAAGAACTTAAAGAATTAAGTAGAAACTTCAATGTTAACTCATACAGTTGTGACCTGAAATAGGCTTTCCTGTCCCAACTCTTTTTCTAGCCTCTTCAAGACCTAACTAAAAACTACACTTGCTAAAGCTCACTGACCCAGAAACACAAACATGGTATGTACTCACTTATAAGTGGACATTAGCTGTTAAGTAAAGGAAAATCATGCTACAATTCACAGACTCATAAAGGTCAAGTAACAAGGAGGGCTGTGGGGGGATGAGGGGGTGGGACACAGGCAAGGATCTCCCTGGGAAGGGGAAATAGAATAGATCCTGCAGGTGGACTAGGGGCAGGTAAGGATGGGAATAGGAAGGATAAGGTCAGGTAGGGTGATGGAGGGAGAGAATATGGGGAGATATGACAAGCTGGAGGGCATTCGGGGACAAGATGGAAACCTAATGCAGTGGAAACTCCTTGGAATCTACAATGTTTCCCCTAGCAAGGGCTCCTGGTAATGGAGGATCTGTAGCCTGAACCATCTATCTTCTGTAAGCATTCAAGGCTTTCAGTGGTGGGACTGGGACACCAACTCAGTCATAAAACCTTTATCCTATAATCTATCCTGCTTGCAAGGTGTGTTGGAGCATGGTGTCTCGGAACTTGTGGAACTGGCCAACCAGTGACTAGAATGACTTAATTTGAGGCCCATGACGAGACAGGGAGCCCATGTCTGGCACTGTCTGGATGACCAAGAACCAGAGGCTGAACAGCCCAGAAATCTTGGGTAGAACTGTACAGGGCAGACAGGAAAAAAAAAAAAAAAAGCATTGAAATGATCCCTATTGACATGCTTCTATATTCATAGACCAGTGCCAAGTCTAGTCATCACCACACAGGCTGCCTGTGGCAGCTGGTCAGAGTGAATGCAGAGATTCACAGTCAAACATTAGGTGGAGAGAGCCTAGGTTGGGAGTCTCTATCAGTTCCTTCCCCTTGGAGCTCAAGGAACCTTGCAGAAGAGAAGGCACAGGTGAGCATCTCTATTTAATTCTCCTGCAATACTACATAGCATTGCCTAGTTGTTCATAAATCCTTGGGGATGATAAATGGCCCTTTTTGATCCCTCCATCAGAGTCTGTTGGCCCTCTTTGCTAAGGCCTCTAGATGGCACTGTTCTCATTAGGTAGCAAAGAGCTCAGTCTAATTGCTAAGTCAGTAACACATTAGTAAGTCTAGAATCAATCCAAACAATAAACACTCAGGTAAAGTTATAAATAAACAAACATCAATTTAAAACAGAAAATAAACACATTTCCTAGAAATTCTGACTCACAACACACACCTCTCACTGGTTTGGGGCACTAGTGTGTAGCAGGGAAAAATCCATGGCCAAGCATTTCAAGGGTTAAGGATCAGCAGCACAAACACTGCTGGCAACTGTTAGAAATACAGATTCTCGGTGGTGTCCTGCATCTACCAATCAGTGACTCAGGGCTGGCCACTTATTGTAGTAACAGACAAACTATCTCTAAAATTAGACAAATGTGGCACCTGAGGTCTAAAACCACAAACAGAGGTGATTACTTATGAAATATGAATACTAATAGGCTTTCTAGAAACATGAAGAACACTTTACTATCAATCAAAACAAGTTCAAAAGGACATACCATCTGGTCCTGCAAGAATCTTATCTTTGGGAGCCATGGCAAACCCAGCATGAGAGATCATCCAGACTGGGAAGCGGCCTTTCGTCAAGGAATACAAGGTCTTTGAAAACGGCAAGTAAAAGGGTGAAAAGCCTGGGTTACCTAAGAAGAGAAAGACTTTGGATTAGAAAGACAACAGACCCAAGCAAGGTAATGGACAGACCAAAAACAGTGGCTCTGGGTTTTCTCACAGCATTCTCCACAAATTCAATAACATTTAGGTCATAAGAAAGATCATCAAGCCACAAACCAAAGTATAGAAGTATCTTTTTAAATCACTTTCATGTGACTTCCCATTGTTACCAGAATAAAGCCTCAAACCACTAATACATCTCTATGGCATTTCAAGATCTGACCACAACAGTTATTAAGCTGTACAAAAACTAAAACTCAAACAAAACAACAATAACAACAAACAAACAAAAAAACAGGCCAGTTAATCAATGTTAGGATCTTAGGAAACAGTGTTATCTTGCCATCTGAAGTATTTGTTGTGTATTTGTATTTGTGTGTGTGTGTGTGTGTGTGTGTGTGTGTGTGTGTGTGGGAGCGTCACTGATGGCCATATACACTACAAGTGATTTTTCTCGTGTGTATACAGAAGACATTTTTGACAGAATAATCAGTGAAACCCCATTTCAAAAAACCAAAATTAATTAATTAATTAAACAAAAAAGGGGGGATTATTGGCTCTGAATTCCAAGGAAAAATTATTTCCAAGCTAGAAGTCTAAGATAATGACTCCTTTTTTTCCTCCTTTTTCGGTGGTAGGATCAAACCCAGGGCCTTGCACATACTTAGCACACCATGCCACACCCCCAGCCTTATAAAACTTTCTGATGCGCTGAATTATTTACAAGACCACTTCCTCTGCACTTCTCAGGAAATAACTCGACGTGCTTCATCAAGAGCAAGAGAGTATCAAGAGTGCAGCACAGGATTGAGGAAGCCTGGCACAGAAAACAAGAATTCAAAGGAGGGCAGCCAAGGAGAAGCCCAGAGCATGGTCAGTGCAGACAAGGTACAAAGGACAGCACATTCTGGGGCCACAGCCTCAAGAGTAAGAAACCATCCTCCAATGTGGCCTGGGTACTGCTTTTCACTTTTAGAGACATGTTGGGATCTCTATCCTGCCTGCCACCCCCGAATAATCAATCAAAGGCTTAACATTATTTATAAATGCTTGGCCAATGGCTCAGGCTTATTATTAGCTACCTCTGACATTTAAAATAACCCGTGTTATTTATCCATGCTTTGCCACGTGCGTCAGGGCTTGGTTCCTCGTTTTCTGCATGTTTTGCTTCATCAGTTCTGTTGAGCACCTCTCAGACTCCGCCTTTCCTCTCCTGTATCTCTCCCTGGGTTTCCCACCTCCCTCTATCCTACCTTGAAATAGGCCAAAGCACCTTGATTTATCAGCCAATGAGAGCAACACATATTCACAGCATACAAAAGACATCCATGTAGCAGAGAAAATTAAGGAGGGAGATACACACATTACCTCAGTGAAAACAAGCAAAGATGAAAAAGGAAGGAAAGCCATCAAAATACACTACAGGTTGCACAAGATACAATACAATCACTATGCAGTACCACTTAATGCCAGAAAAAGCACTAAACATTGATCTGATTAAAACCTGAAAAAATACAAAAGGATGGGAAAGGAGAGAGGGAAAATATACTCATTATCTAGGAGGAAATGAACAGATGACACCTAATAGTCAGAATAATAAACAGAAATGTAAATAATTTAGAAATGTGATAGAACATACATTAACATAAATGGGCTTAATTTAAGTTACGGAGCTAGTTAGGAACAAGCCTAAGCTTTCATAATTAATAAGAAGTCTCTGGGTCATTATTTGGGAGCGGGCTGGAGGGACAGAAAAAGACTCATTACACCCCTCAATAAATGAAACACAAGACCAAAAAGAAATGTGATGAACTAAACGCCAAGAGCATACCAATGTTAAAAGTGTTTCTGAGGATTTCTTGGAACTAAAAAAGCTAATTCTAAAGATCAGTTAAATGAGGTTTCTTTTCCCTCTTAATAAATAATAAAATAAAATACTATGAAGGCAAATGAAGAAAAGGCAAATGGTACCCTGGATAAGAAACAATAAGCAAGGATGAGTCCTAGCTGTGAAGGTGTTTTACAACAAGAGAACACAAAGGACAAGCACACGGAGGCACAGGACACAGACTCAGCTGCAGAAGAATCTGCTTTCTGTAAAGATAGTGTTGCAGACTGGAAGAGCAAAGACAGCACTGCCAATACAATGAGTCTGATGGTCTGAATCACTTAATGACCATCTAAGGAGAGAGGGGAGAACAGACATTACCCAGTCTGAAGGATTCACAACAAGACAGTGAAAACACATAGCACACAGAGCTGTTTTTAAAACCTTAAAGGAAAAGAGGATTTTGACCAGTTTCATAATGATGAACATTTCTGCACAACCAAATAAATGCAGAAATGTCAAAGACTCACCAACAGGGAGTCTTGCCATGTGTGCCAAGAAGAACACAATCTCAAAGTTTATTGCTTTCAACCAACCAGATATCTCTGACAATGACAGAGAAAAGTCACAATTGACCAGGAAGAAAACCCCAGAATAAAACTCGATATTAAGCAAATAATCATCTTAAAATAAGGTGGAATAAAGTTGTTGAAAATTTAAACTTTGCGCCAGGTGGTGGTGGCACACACCTTTAGTCCCAGCACTTGGGAGGCAGAGGCAGGCAGATCTCTTTGAGTTCAAGGTCAGCCTGGTCTACAGAGCGAGTTCCACAACAGGCTACAAAGCTACACAGAGAAACTCTGTCTGGAAAAAACCAAAAACACAAGCAAAAAAAAACCCTTAAGATTTGATAAAGATATAAATACAAAAACAATTACAAGAGAAATTACAAAACTGCCCATGTGGTACAAGGCATCTCTGTATAATAGTGAATATGAATGATATCAATGTAAAGAAAAAGCCACACACCCTCAGTAGTAACAATGGGTGTTACCAGTTATAATTTAATTTCCCTCCAGTTCTCCATATTTTGCCAACAGTAATTCTGAAATCAGAGGCTTTGAGTGTCTGTGACTTTTACACTTACCTGGAATAATGAAGATAAGCAGTTTTGGCTTGGTGGCACTTTGTTCATCAAAGAGGTTAGTCCAGGGCCCACATTTTATAATCTGGGTTTCAACTCCACCACAGAGAAAGAATTCCTCATGCACAGGGATTTCTTCCTGAACTTTTGAGTCCATCTCTAAATAAAAAGGTAAAGGGTGGTGAGAAACAAAATAAAGAGGGAGTGAAGGCAGGAGTGGTGGTGCACAGATGCACCCAGGAGGCAGAGGTATGAGTTCAAGGGTTAGCCTCTTCAGCTACATAGAGTTAGAGGCTAAGGTGGATTACAGAAGACACTGCCTCAACCTCCCCCATCCTATCCCCCACAACAGGCAGTAAAATATAAGACCTTGAAATAAAAATGGCAATGAAGAATAAGAAGGGGGCATTTCAAAAACACTCAGAAGAGAATGCCACAGGGCATGTCAAAGACACGAGACTATTCAGCTGTGTGCATTAAAAGATTGAGAGGGATGGTCACACCAACCACAAGGGGTTTCCTGAGAAACAAGGAGTCACACAGTCAGGAAGGAAAAGGCTAGAATGGAGCAGGAGTCAAAGACAGACTAGCATTCCTCCTGTGGCTGCCTCCAGTTGGAAGCCACAGTGCTCCTGGATGGCTTCTCCCTCCCCCAGTCTGGAGTTCCCTGATAGCTCAGTGCCTCACCTGAGACGGGCCCTCAACACCGTCAACCTTCACCTGGCAATGGCTGGAGGGGGGGGGGGAGAAGCTCAGCTCTCCCAGGATGGAAAAACCACTGAGTTCCTTTATACTCGTTCTAGTCACTCTCTTCTGTCCGAATTCTGTAAGCACACTGTCTTGCATAATGGAAGCACTATGCCATTGATTTATGAAAGAATAGACAGAGAATACCCAGGACATGAGGCAGCAAGTATGCATGAGTCTCTGAATAACTTCACACATACAAACTGGTGGGCCTGAGACCTTTAAATAACCCCCACCCCGACGCTTTTGCCCTCCCTGCCAATGGCACCAGATCTCAACACTTCAAGACTCAGTCCTTCTAGCCCCTTCATGCCAGCCTGCCCCTCCCCACCCTCCAGACTATCCTGTCCTGTCGTCAGCACCCACCGCTTCTCTGCTATCACCCTGGTCACTATGTTATCTTCAATTACTTCCGGAATGCCTCCCTGCTGCTGTCCGTGACCCACTCTCATCACTGCATTCACAGCTCTGACCTTGGTCTTTGGAATGGTTTTCTTTGTCAGCGGAGGCCATGTTGAGTTCTTGGTGGAGGAGGCTTGAGAGGCAGCTGGAAGCTTCCCCTGTAGGCTCTCCCTAGCTTGCACTTCTCTTCCCCTGTGCTGTTCAGCCTGTGAAATCCCCCAGATGCAGCTGCTTTCCAATCACAGAGGATTTTGTCACCAAAAGATGCAGAGCAAAAACTGGAGCTATTTTTCACTGGTAGAACTGAGAACTCCTGGCACAGTGATTAGAGGCCAAGTATGTTGTTAAACATCAAGAAAGACCCAGTCCAAAAGGTCAAGGATGCTCAGAATGGAAAACACTGCTCTAGTGCTGGGTGTCTCCAGAGTGCATCTTACACCAGCAATGGGCTGGCCACTGTACTTTATCTAAGTGCTCCTCACACAGTACCTGCAGCACTGGGGCAATACCCCAAATGGCCACTCCTCATTCCCTCTGCTAGACAGCTGTTCTCCACGGTGGCCCCGAACTGTCTCAAGCTGTACACATGCACTCTGGCTACACCTGATGTGGGTGTTGAGGATTTGAACCCAGATCCTCATGGTTACATAGGACACACACTCATTTCCCCTGCCCAGAGTCTTTTCCACAGTGAACATTGGTTAGGAAGCCAGCTAAGCTATAAACTTACTGCAAGCACTCAATGTCTTTCCCCAGGCAGACCACCTCAGTTAAGACAAATTCAACACTGGTTAGGATGCAGTGTAATGGGAAATTCCACACATCTGGAAATTATCTGACAGCGTGGACCAATACCTACAAAAGGCAACCACTTTGCCTCATTTTGTGGAACTAATTCTAAAATAAACAAAAAAAATCACACAAACATGTTCATAACACTGACACAAGGAGTATGTTTATAAAAGCCAAAGTGCTGAAGAACCCAAGTGGTCATTAACTGAGTTAAGCAAATTGTGACAGAGCATTGTACAGTCAATCATATAACGGCTCATCATTAGGGAGTAATAAACTACAGTTCTGATCACACCAGCCCCATCAAGAAAGCTTTGCTAATTTCCTTTAACTTTCCCTTTTCCCCATAAAATTTCTATGATTTCACTTGTCTTGTTTTAGGATCTGTTATCCCTTCATTCCCTTTGTTTATGCCTATATTACTTTTACTGTCAATTTTGTGAATTTAGGTAGGAAGAAGAAATAAACACAAGTATTTAAATATTTACATTTAACCAAAAGTCTTAATTTATTTTTCTTAAGCAAGGATGCTTACAAAAATGAAAAACCTTTAAGATGTGGGAACTACTCCTGAAACAAAATACACTGACTAAATCAGTCTCTCACCCTTTTATGCAGACTGATTTTAATTAACTAATAAATGTCACTATAGCCTCACCTCTAAAACTATCATAACACAGTAAGTACATTTGTGAAAGTTTTCTGACATTTACAATGAAATAGGATGGAAGTTTTCGCAAAATGTTAAATTAGGGCACTGACTTCAAAGCCACTGGCTGGCCAACTTTACACTTTTACTAGAGGGAAATTCAGTCATTAAACACATCTGACTCTCAACTACTTAATTCCAAGTAAAAGACACCTTGGACGTTTGATTAACCTCAAGATTTATGAGAGTTCAAGTAGATAAGAAACTCAAGCACAGTCTTTAAAAATTGGAAGACAAAAACCACAACTACAATTCTAAGACACTTCAAGCAAAACAGACCTGGACAGAGAAGCGCGGAGTTCACACTCGTGTTCCCAGGGCAGCTTTCACTTCCCTTCCTCTTACGTCTTATTCTCAATGAGCAGTGAGAAGGAAAGAAAATCTTACCTAAGAGCGTGTAGGAATTCAGTTCTGCAAGTGACAGATTAACAAAACAGGTTATGACACTTATAAGGTGTTGAAGGGTGGCAACTCCACCCTTGGCCTCAGCCTATGAGCAGGCCTGGACGATATCAATTTAATAAGCACCAAGAGTTGGGCTTGATGACAACCAAGTGTGACTATGACGTGGGCAACTTACCCAAACCTGTTTTTCTAAATGCAGGTGTTAATCTATATTAAGAATGTTTGAATTTTATATAGCAACATATTTTTCCCAATTTAATCTTACACAAAACTAGGCAATATGTAAAACAGAGAACAAGTATTTGATCAGTATAAATCTCAGAAGATCAAACCTACAATATTTTCATTATATTTATTATAATAATTATAATGCATATGTATAAACTATTTATATTGCACAAGGCCAATGAGAACGATAAAGCTAAGATGCTGAACAAAAATATTCAAAGTAGAGTTGTATGTGTATCTTATTTGGCTTTAGCATCCCAATGTCTGCTGTTTATTTTAGCAACCCAGAATTCCCACAATCATGTAGGAACTGGCAATGACAACTTTTAAAAAGCTTGAGTCAGAATGTGTTTTCAGTCACATCAAAAAGACAGCAGGGGAGTTGTTCAGATTTTCCCTTTTTCTTTTGGTACGTGTATGTCCTCGCCTGTTGGGTGTATGAATGGAGGACAGAGCTCAACTTTTTAAGTACTGCTTTGTACCTTTACCTACTGCACCCAGGGACCTTAATTTTTTCAGACAGCAAGCTCTCAGGACCCATGTGTCCCCTCCCACTCTCCCTGTGCCAGATCACAATAGAACTCTTAAATGAGTACTCAAGATTCAAACTCACATCTTTCTGCTTGCACAGCAAGCACTTTACCCCCGAGCCATCCTCCACTCTGCAGGAGTTAAATTACCAACAATGTCTAATAATAACTTGTGTCACTTACTACACACATCAGGCGTCTAAGAAGCTTGTAAGACTTCCTCAAAAGCCAGTCTTCATGTGAATCATCAAACACATGGACCAATTATCATCTCACCATGAATCACAGCAGAACATACACTTTGTATGTCTGATTCTTGAATGAAAATTAATTCATGTGGCTCCTGAGCACCAGTGTTTAACCTATAGGGGATATTTGGCAACTGGACATGCACAGATTGACTTCTGAGGTTCGTGGCAGACACAACAAGTTTGTAATTCATATGGAAAGACAATATGAGAAGGAAATATGAAAAATAGCAGAAGCTTTATTTCAAACACTAACATGCTGGTTAAACCACAGAAGAGAGACTAGCAGTTGGTTTTGATTAGAGAGGGTTTTTTTGTTTTTTATTTTTTTGGGGGGGTTGTTTTGTTTTGTTTTACGTGGTGCTGGAAATTGAACCCAAGGCCTTGTACATGTTACACATGTGTTCTATTATTTAACAATATTACCAGCCATTCGAGATTTGTTTTAAGTTTAAATTGCAGTGAATCTGATTTTGCAATAGCAGACCAGCTTGCTCTAAAAAAACTTCCACTGATGACAATTAAAAAAGCCAGGAAAAAGTTTTTTCTGCCTGGTAAAAAAACAAAATCAGTAACTACCAAAAGAATTATCCAAGAATGTGTAACAAATTTCTACAAGAGGAAAAACCAAATGTGATATCTGAGTGAGAAGAAAGCAGTGAATAGATTTAAAATATAACATAAAAATATGGAATACAAAGCCTGCCGGCAGGCTTCCTCCACTATCTCTGTTCCCCCAGACCCAATGCCTCAAGCCATCCATCCCTAGAGCTGCAACAAAACACCAGCTGCAGCCTCCCTTTCCCCTGCCCACATCTCCTATGGATCCCACAGACCATTCTCTCCTGGCTTCCCTTTCCTGACTCATGCTATATTCCAGTACCCAAAGCAAACAGATGCCCCCTGCTCAACTGCAGGTCATGCTTGCCAAAAAACCAGGTAGACTGGCCAAAGACCTTCTCTACTTCTCTGTTCCCGAAGCCCCAATCCCTCAATCACCTCCCTAGCTCTGCAACAGCTCACCAGCTGAGGGCTCCCTTCCTGCTGCAGCAGCCCATGTCTCCTGATCCCAGGCACAATGCCTTCAGACCTCCTTCTCCCAACTCATAATTTAATCCCAGCCTCCAGCACCAGCAGACATAACCCATGACCAACCACATCAGCTGAGCACACTAGGAAAACAGGCAACACAAGCCATCACACTATGAAAATCCAGAGAGAAAACAAACCAAGGAACAAAATACCCATTCAAGAAAGAAAAACCCAGAAATCAGCATCTAGACCTGTAATCACCCCAAACCCTGATGCCTAGAGGCCATCGTCAGAACAGTAACAGTCAGTACAGTATGTCTCCACTAGAGCCCAACTATCCTATCACAGCAGGCCCCAGATATTCCAACATAGCTGAAGCACAGGAAAAAATACCTTAAAACCAACTATATGAAGGTGATAGAGATCCTTAAAGAGGAAATTAATACATCCCTTAAAGAAAGCCAGGAAAACACAAACATACACCCTACCACCAAAATAATGGAAATCAACAATCATTGGTCATTGATATCTCTTAAGGTCAATGCTCTCAATTCCCCGATAAAGAGACAGAGTGACAGAACAGAGCTGCAGGAGGTATCACCATCCCTGATTTCAGGTTGTACCACAGAGCTATAGTAATAAAAACCACATAATATTGGCATAATAAAAGGACATGATGATCACTGGAATCCAAATGAAGACACAGACAGAAATCCACACACCAATGGTCACCTGATTTCTGACAAAGAAGTCAGAAATACACAGAAAGGAAAGAAAGAAAGAAAGAAAGAAAGAAAGAAAGGAAGGAAGGAAGGAAGGAAGGAAGGAAGGAAGGAAGGAAGGAAAGAAGGAAAGAAGGAAGGAAAGAAGGAAGGAAGGATCCTCAACAAATGGTGCTGGTCAAACTGGATGTCTGCATGTAGAAGAAAATAAAAAAGGAAAAAAATCAAGCTATATATGGACAGAAGAAAGGGAATGATGGTCTTTTAAACAAACATGGGCCAATTAAGTATCAATAAGGAAAATAATGAATCATAACACAGGTTGCCACATACAGCTTAAAAGGAAAAGAAAACAACAAAGCATCCCAGAGACTCATGTTTACTACAACCTATCTCCTGACCTTTGGACAATCAAAGGTCACTAAATCAAGGTATAGTACATCTTAACCACAAAGGAGTTTTAAAATGCACCCTTTAGATTGCGAACTTAGATTCATCAACAGACATTGACAGTGAAAATATAGTCAGAAAATAGAGTAGGAGAAGATGCACACATACATATAGTCTTTTGGTTGTAATACTGTTGTTAGGATACTCTCTAGCAACAGGTTTGAATCTTGAACTCTACTCATGTATCATTATGCATCTCTCTGTGTGCACGGATGTGTACAGGTTTCCAGTTTTCTTCCACTCTGTAACTGAATTCATTTTCTTAATCTCTCTGTATAAGATCTATGTGAACAATAATTACTATTTGATGGGGTTGGGGTTGAACACGGGAACTTTTCTATGTTAGGAAATTGCTCTATCACTTAGCTACATCTTCAGTCCATATATTTTGTATTACCTCTGTGTAGTATGTATACATACAAAACAGACTTTCTCAACATGCACATATCCAGAGTATGGAAAGAGCACCTCCAAATCAGCAAGAAAGAGACAATCCAATTAAAATACAGGCAAAATATCAGAAGGGCTTTATAAAAGACAATGGCCAAAAGCAGATGGTTAATAACCATAAGGGCTTTCTAGAAGAGTCAAAGAATACCAATATGGAAACTATCATCTAGGCATGCTGGTTCTTGCCCAGAATCCCAGAATTTGGGAGGCTGAGGCAGGAATGTGGCGAGTTTGAGAACAGCCAGGGATACATGGTATAAAACTGTCTAAAAAACACGCACCCCCCACCACACCACACACACACACACACACACACACACAAACAAACAAACAAAAAAAAAAAAAAACACCTTAAGTATAATGCAGACAACAGGGGGCAGGTGTGCAGAAACACACAGGCACACATCTGAATCAGGACCGGGATTCTCCTGCTCCAGATTATGAGTTTCTTGAATATCAGATTAATGAGTTAGAAAATCAGGAATCCCAGACGATATCTTGCAAGAGACAAGCACTCACTATAGTTACAGTTTAAAAAATAAAAAGTTCTCAGGAACCCCATGTACTCTTGCTACATGGCACACCATACCAACACTTCAGTGCCTTCAGACAACATGTTATATCCTCACAGATCTTGTGGGTTAGGAGTTCTAAAAAGGTAGTGCAAGGTCAGTCTTGATTCAATCCCACGTAGGTTAGCTAAGAACATCAACAGCTGGCTTTGACTTGCTCCCTGGGTCAGGAGTCATCAGGAAGTAACTTCATTGATAACCCTAAATGGGTGCTCTAAAACAATGGGTTGTTGGTTTGGAAGACCACAACACATCATCCCTATCTAAGCTTTCCACATGGCCTATTTTGATAAGCTTTTGCAGTGAGATAGGCTGATATCCAAACCCAAGTGGCTCCTGAGGATGAGATTAAAGTTGTCTCACCTCTTAGGACCTCACCTCACTCGTCATGGAGCATTAAATCACAACACACTGATAAGCATTTTGAACTTTTAAGAGACAAGTGTACCATAGCACATCTCAGAAAGTAATCTGACATTTTGCCAGTGACGACCTTACCAGTTTCTCCTACATACTAACATCCCAACTTCAACAAAGCAGTTTGGGAAAATGTTGAAGGCATCTGGAACATAATTAGTTTCCAAAAGTGAGATAGGAGTTGATTAAAGTATTCTTACAAGAAAATAGCCAAACTCCAGAAAAAGGTAAGAGCACACTAAAGTCTGGAAGCTCCCAAAAGAACGCTATGTAAGAAACAAGAGCAAGGGATTTAAAAATAACAATTAACTACACAGTGGGATAAACTGCAAAGTGGAACCAGCAAAGAAA